ATATTCGCTGAACACATGCGACGGGAGGCCGACGACAATCTCGAGTTTATCGGCCAGAAGAAGGTAAGCCTCATCGTGCTGAGGCCTGTTCGAAAATTATGCAGACACGTGAACAACATGGTTCTGGTGCTGACGAGCGTTATAGGTCTCGGAAGAACTACGACGAATGCTCAACGCTGCTTATAGTCCAGATGACCACTGGACCCACAGTTTGAGGGCAAGAAATGGACACAAAAATTTCGTCCGAGAACAAAATAACAACGGGAAGCCCAAGCTCTACGCCAGCTTCACGGTCAATGACACCAGCAAAATGTTCACTCGTTATGTCGCGGAGTGTTACCCAGAGGCCAAGAGATGGATCAAGCGTCCACCTGTGTATCATCTTGATGTGAGAACGACCAAAGGGGACTTGAACTCTGAGTTCTCATACAGCAATGATCAGTGGAAGATGGTGAGTTGACTTCAGCAACATCTCCGGTATCCCAGTCTAACGTTTAGAACAGGCTCGCATCTACACCATTCCAGAATCAACAGATACCGGCATTCCGACAGACGTGTATTTCCTCGTACGCGTCTTTAATGCGGATAAGGACCCGGAAATACAGTTCCTTCTAGATCCATGGTCACTCTATCTCCAGGACATGTTGCGGTTGAAGGCGGAGAAGGAGTATCGTGCCAGTCTTCACGGGCTTAGGGCGTGATTACAGAGGTCGTGGCCAAGACCACGTAAAGGATCTCAAGAATAGATGCGAAGAATATCTTCATTGCGACTTTAGTCACTTGGGATCGTGTTTCAGGATATCATATCGGCTTCAAGGTCCCCCGATTAAAAGGAGGGGGCAATGATCTGAGAGCCTTGCCCTCTGGCCCTTGGCAAGGCTGAACGCGATGGACGTTAGGTGCGTATTTACTCCGCCCTATAGAACCACCGATACGGCGGGATTCAGCTGTGCTGAAACGCAATCTGAAATCTTCGAGCTCCAAATTATTAATGTCGAGAGTTTGGCCTATTCACTGCCATTGCATCACCACTTTCGCGGCCTTGCCTGCTGTCGTTCATTTGCGCTCCCAGGTTCTTTTTCTTTGATGCCATGTTTCATTCCCTCTCGTATCTTTGAACCGAAAGAAGATTACAACAAGGACCACAAGGTTCCTTTACCATGTTTCGACCAGCGGCCCGGTCGCAGGTGCGCTCCGTAGCTCACTCCCTTTTCTCCCGAGCTCCCGCAGCCAGAAGCCCAGTTGGGAAACGATTCGTCAGTACATCGCCAGCGAACACGCGACGGAGTTGGAAAGGTACTGCGTTGAGATGGGGTATCGCCATCGCGGGCATTTACTATTATAACACCAGCCCCGTCTTTGCGGAGCAGCCACAATATAGTACGTCAACGCCTCAGAGTCCTGGGTCGCTTGCCGGCGGTTCACATCTGCTTTGTGGATCGAATACTGATTCCATCTGCGTGTGAGGGACAGATCTATTAAATCCCAACCTCGACGCTGTGGAAGACGAACGGAGGGACCATTCGACCTTAGAAGCCCTGACCTCCCGTCGAGCAATAGAAGCGGAGAGGAATGCCTCCGTGCTCCACTCCGCCGCCGATTCAATATCGTCCGAAAATGCTTCCACAACCATTGTTTCCGACCATGAGCCACTCACGACCGGCACTGCCGGAGAGCTAGAAGAGGAGGCAACCGGCGAAGGCGCCTTCAACCCAGAAACAGGGGAGATCAACTGGGACTGTCCGTGCCTGGGTGGTATGGCTCATGGCCCTTGCGGTCCTGAATTCCGCGAAGCCTTTTCATGTTTCGTGTTTTCAAAAGAGGAACCCAAGGGCATGGATTGTATAGACAAGTTCCAAAACATGCAGCAGTGTTTCCAGAGGTATCCGGAAATTTACAAGGGCGAACTGGAGGACGATGAAGAGCTGGATGCTGGGCTGGAGGCTGAGAAGCAGGAATTGGTAAACGAAATCGCAGAGAGGAAGCGGCAACAAGAAGGAGCCGTGGCGCAGCGCAGGTTGCTGGAGGAGCCGGATCCAGCACCTAGGCCTCCTCGAACGACGAAGAAGGTGACTTCCCCTGAACCACAAGAACAATCACATGAGCAAACGCTTCCGCAAACTCCAACAAAGACACCATCCGAACCGGAAATCGAGAAGAGTGAGGTCACGACATCCGAAAAACCAGCGCTCCTCCGGAGTAGCAAACCACCCTCGGCAGAGGCAAAGACGAAAGTGAGTGGTGATCCGTCTCATTCTACTACAATGTCGCCGGAGCGCGAAAACATCATAGAGGGCCAGAAATCAGGGGGAACGAGAGAGGCAAAGAATGCTTCATCCGCTGAGACCGAGGAGACGTTCAATCCCGAAGCTAGTATTGTGCCCAAGGCGGCCCATGATGCTACCGGAATTGAGACGGAGAAGACACAAAAGTGAAGATAGAAGAGGGAAATGCATTGTACACGACAGAAAAGATTGGTTGTCCTTTCTCTTGCATAGCAGTTTGATGGAGTCATTTACACACAGACATGGAAGACAAAAGGTATTGTACATCATTGATGCGAGGCTCGCCTTGTACAGTATGGGATCAACAGATGACTAGGAAGAGTTCGATACGTAGCGGCCCTGTGATGTAATTAGCAAAAAACGAAGACCCTCATCTCAGTCCAACTTCTGCTGTTGGTTTGCTCGCTAAAGAGCCTTACCAGGCTCAGGGAAGACATAGCTCCCCATTGAACTGAAGTGAGCCAAGATTAGGGCCGCCATGTGGCAGAGCTGTTGACTAGGCACTCGGTACTGAACCTTCACGTTCAGAGAGAATGAATGGGACACAATTTTGGGTACTCGTTCGTAGGTAGGTATTAGATAGCTAGCCTCGCTAGGTAGGGATTTTGATGAACAAGCAATCTCCGCTTAGGCTTCGCTTGACACGAGGCAATTTTGAGACAGACGCGATCGAGGTTGGCATGGTTCTCAAGATAGCTCAACTCGGCTCTGGAATGACGAACGGGTTCTCGAAATCTTCCTCCTCGTAGCGAAAGGATATTTAGAAGATGTCATTGTCGCCGCCGCAGTCGCCTATAATACGTCCCGCCGTCTTTGCGTGGCCTGCTCTTTCTGTGCCGCCTGTCCCTGACATATTTCCCCGTATACACATCGGGAAGGGGTTCACACCTGCTTCTCCACCCGAAACCCGAGCCGACCAATTCGGACGAGGGTGAGACAGTGGTCTGGGGAGCATCACGGCCTATAAAACCCTCGTGGGATTCGGCACTAGCGCTGCACTAGTGGACCAGGTGGACTATTGTAAGCAGATCAGCAAATAGACCTACTGAGAAGACAGTAGCGGGCGGTATTAATAGCGGAATGGTAAGGAGGGACTTTATGAACTGATTGGGTTGCTGGCGTTGCTGGAGTTGGTGGAAGCAGGCCAGACTTCGCCCCCGGGAAAAAGAAAAGAAAGCGATGCAGATGGCAAGTGCGAAGGGTAGCAATCGTGGCAGCTGGATGGGTCAGAGGGCTTCGCTCTTGGGTGACAGCACGGTGAAGGACGCAGACTAAGCAACCCTGATAACCCCCTTTAACCAGAAAGCCACAAGCGTCAAGCGCCCTTGAGCCCTGAGTGGCCCAGGTGGCGCCTGTTCCAGTAGCCTGCCAAGCCCCAACAGCACTGGTGGCACCCGGAGAAGCACCCTTGGGAACTCCCAAACCAATCGCCTAGGATCCCAAAAACCCCCTGGAACCGTCCATCGCGGGTTCCCGTTGGCTGGCTGCTATCCCAGTTCGGCGCTGAGTGGGTGCGTAAGATGCCTGAGAAAAGCGGCGCCGTCTGACATAGGCTCACTACGGGCATCCCAAGGCTTTTTGGGTGTGTTGAGCCTCGTTGAAGTGGCGCATCACCTGTTGTCAGACTCACCCTTTTTTTCCCCTGCGCTCGGCTTCTCTTCCTTCTCTTCTCCCTTTTGCTGCTGCTCTCTTCCATCCGCTGCTCTCCTTCCTCCCTGCGTCCCGCCAGGCTTGGGTCTCTTTCCCATCCATCCACCATCTATCATCATTTCGCTCCATCTTGTTTTTCCCCCTTCACCGTCCTTTGCTGTCACTCTTCATACTTCACTCTTCCGACCTTATTGCCTCCCGTTCCGTTCCCTTCACCTTCAGTATCGACTCCGGCGTCGACTCTGGCCTCCCAGTACTCTCGGTCCCGCATCGCCCGCCTTTCCTTTCGACCTCTACCGTTTTCGCTCTAATCGCTTCTTCTCCTCTCATCGACTCCTGCGCCGTCATCCAGTTCCCAACTCGATCCGCTCGAGCCTCCCCATCTCTACCCGATATACTACCATACGGTCCTTCGGACTCCCTCAGTCGTGGAGAGTGACTTGCAACATAACTGATAATCGTCCATACACATCATCAAAACGCTTTCAATCGCTCGATCATTGCCGCGCAATATCCTACAGTATTACACCTCGATCTGATTGCCAACCACCTTCATTGTTCTAAACCTCCCTTATCTGGTTCGCCACAATATTCAAGACGGCTTTGTACAATCCACCATCTGCCCCCCCTGCGGCCTCGCCCTGTCAGCACATTAGTAGCTCTACCACGGTTTCAAGGTTTCTGCCAACAGCTGGCTGAACATTTGGTTGGTTCAGTCAGTCTTGTCTACGGAACATTTGCACTGACGGGGATCTACCAGGCAGGCATTTCCTTCCTGGTTACGCCATACGCCTTCCCTCCTCCCGACACCTGGAACTAGCACCGCACGAAATCGTCTCCCACTTAGTCACGACTTGTCCTAATTTTCTAATCCCCCAGGCAAAAAGAGACCTGACACTCCTTCCTGATATTCGATTCTCGCGTCGGCAGTGCACGGACTGATTATTTCTTCCCGAACGTTTTGACACCGCAGCTCGGACACACCGGTTTGTCCCATCCATACCAAGTTTCAGTCTGTCAACTTACAGTATACGATCCTTTGTCTTGTTATTTTTCTAGAGAACAATGAGCATCGACGCTGGCGGTGTTGCTCAAATGACTTACCAGTCTCCCTTCAACAACTCTATTGGCGTTTCCGGCCCTGGTTTTGCTTCTCGAGGGAAAGGTTCCCATATCAAACGTCTCAGCGTCGCGCCCCCATCCAAGATCTCGACCATCGACGAAACCCAGCAGGCCAATACTATTTCCACTCCCCGCACTAGCCGGGGTCATCTTTTGGCAGGTCTGCGCACAGCTCCTAAATCTGCCACGGTCCCCCCTGCCACCCGTGCCATAGGTCTGGAAAGCAGCAAGTACGCCCCTGCGTCGTACGGCAACCATGTTCCGCAGACAGCAACTGGTTTGTACTTTCCCGGAGGCAGGAACACTTTGCAGAGCAACTTGCAACAACCTTACTCGCTTCCTGAGCATGTGCTTGCCCCTCCATCTCTTGACTTCGTTGACGGAGCAGAGAATATGGATCAAAACTTGTACGATGAACTGGTAGCCACCAATAATTACCTTGCCCAACAGCAGCGAGCTCTTCAACAGCAGTTGTTAAATGTCACGGCTGCGGCGCATCAGCTATCTGGACTCAACCTGAACACCGGTTTCATGAACAACCTCGGCCAACAGCAGTATCAGTCTCCCATCAGCTCCCCAATGGGTCTGTACAATCAACAATTCCAGCAGGGCTTGCAACCCGTGGTCCACCCAGTGCCTGGTAGCCCTGGCGTCTTCACTGTCTACAATCCCATGACGGGCCAGTCAAGTTATCTCGTCGACAATTCCTATCAGCAGCAGCAGCAGCAGCAGAAAGAAGTCTCCCCCATCCGTCAGAACAGTTCTGTTTCCCCGCCTCCTGTCACGCCAGCCTACCAGCGCCAGATGCCTGAGTCATCTGTTCCTGTGACCGAAGCCCGTTCAAAGACGCCTCCCAAGTCCACTCCATCGCCTCCGCAGGAAGTCGAGCCTCTCCCACCTCCATCCGCCAACGCGTTCCGACGAGGTCATCGAAAGAACCTATCGTCTGCCAACATCAAGACTGCCGGCGACTGGACAAAGGGTTCTGGAGCGAGATCTGCCGGATTTCCGCAAACTCCAATGACCGCCACTTTTGGACCTGGACACGGGAGAGTGGGAGAACACCCTGTCAGACAACCCAAGGGCCCACCTCTTCTGCAAGAGCTTCAGGAGAAGCCTACCTCCAAACATGAGGGGAGCAAGAACTTTGCTACCCGACAGCGTCGTAGAGCTGTCCATGACCTTGTGCGTGCGGGCCGTGAGCGTCGCAGCGATGGCGGTCGACAACCCGGTTCGGGGGCTGGAACACCTGGCAGCGAAAACGAGTTCAACTTCTCGGTGTCATCTGATGACTCTGTTCTTGCTGGTAGTAGCAGCCTCTCGAGCAAGCCAAGCCTTGGTAGTCTCCGGGCTGTTGCCAGCGGGGCCATTGGGTCTGAGATCAAGGAGAAGTCTCGAGAGCGGTCTTCTGTTGACAGCGTTGGAGCGATCAGTGCTAAGAGCTTGAGTAGCGATGAGGGCAATTCTGTTGGAGGATCTATTGTCGAGGTTGAGCCGGCCAGACGCAACACGCCACTGATGGTTCTCAGTAGCGCTGAGAAACGAAAGAGCGTCGTCATGTGAAGCGGAAGGCTCAACGAGGGCAGTGCCCCTTTTTACCACATCATTTGAGTTCTCTTGGAAGACTCAGCCGCTCGTTTCATCACGACCTTGATGACTAACTACTCCGCGATTGATTGGCATGAATATTACTGCTTTACACTCGACCCATCCTGACGGAAAAAAGCATTGAAACCTCGATTGGAACACTAGGATTATTCTTTAATGAATGGTTTTCCATCGAACAGTCCTTTTTGACTTTTGCCTTGTTTTGCAAGTCCTTGAACTGTCTTGTTGAGGCCAGACACACTCCTTTTATTGCATGAATGAGCCACTGCGCTGGGAGGACTTAACAGGGGCAGAAATGCCCCGCAGAGGCTCCGCCCTTAGCTTTGCTCAAAATTTCTTCTGGCAGATTTGTTGGCGTTGGAACGGCTAAGTGCAATTGTAGTGTGGCATGGTGAAGAGACGATGGACGGAGAGGAAGCGTTGTCCAGACAAGGCTGGATCACGGCTCGCTGGGAGAGTGTGCGTCCATTCCACCCGTGTGCAGACGGATTCAGCCTCTTTTCTCCGACAGGCGTCGATGACGGGAAGTAATTGGACGGATGGATTGATGGCTGGATGGACCGACGTACGCACCAAATGGGACTATAGAGGACAGCAAGCTTTGACTGCTCGCCTACTTGCTTGCGTGCTTGTTATGCTCGCTCTCCTTTCTGCAGAAATGAACCACGACGAACATTCTCAGCATTCTGAACAAATGCTTCTCGCCCCTCTTCCTGCGCCTTCTGTTCCTCCTGCTGCTGAACGGGATTTCAGTTCATTTTCTGAACCATCGTCGCTAGGCTTTCCAAGAAACTTCATTCTAGTATAGGGGAAAGGGGCAACGTTGGAGTCCATCATGCACTGGCAGTCCAAACTTCATGCTCGTATTCATGCTCATACTCGTTGGTCGCTATCCACACCCCACTACTTGCATTCTCCCCATGTATGCAGCTACACTCACCCTGCCTATCTGCCGGCCTGCAATGATCGATCAGCGCCCCATGCACATTCACATTGCACTGCCTCGCCGCGCCGCGCCGTTGTTTTCTAATTCGAGTTCTCGACAAGGCCAAGCTCAGCTGTTCAAATACCTCGCCACGGCGCCTCTCAGCCTCCTTCCGCCCTCACCCGCTACATTGATCAAATTCTCCAGGTCGTCTCCCGCAGTCAGTCCGAGTTTGCGGATGAAGTCCTTGGCCACCGTCTCGATGTCGCCGTACCCGTCATGCCCTTCGAGACCCGTAGGGTCGTCCTCGGGACGTCCAAAATACGCGTTTGAGCTGATCGACGTGGCACCCTCAAAGGTCTGTAGGCGCGATTTCGCCTCGGCTTGAGCGTTGGGGTCGTAGTTGTTGCGGCCGAAGAATTCGTCAGATGAGATCGACTTTTGGCCACCGAATTTGTTGCGTGCATATTGCTCTTCCTCGTCTATCGTCGAAGCGATGAAAGGAGATTGTTAGTTGCGGAGGGAGAGGAAGAGAGACTGCTTTGGACAAGACTGGACAAGGAGGAAGGGGGAATAGGGGGATCGATGTTCTTAGGGATGTCCTTACCTTCTACTGCAGAGGTCTTGCTGGGGCCGACAGCACCAAATCCCAACTTCTTCGGTGCCGCTGCGCTTGAGCCTGCCGCTGCCTTGCTAGGTCCGACCTGTCCAAACCCCAACCGACCGACGCCCATTCCCAGTCTCTCAAGATCACTTGGACTTCGCGCGTGGGTCGGGTTTGAACCCGACCTCGCCGCGGTATTGATAGGTGTCGGCGTCTCCTTGGGTGTCCCAGCGGAAGACGATCCAAAAGGGGGAGATTTAATGGCCCTAGCCAGTTCTTCTGCCTTCTCGGCTTCGGGGTCATAGCCTAGTTTCTCTATCCTCTCGGCCTCGGCCTTTGCCGCCTTCTCAGCTGCTTCAAAGTCGATTTCTTCGCCTGCGACCTTCTTGGCGCCGAGTTTGTGGGCTTGTTTCTTTCCGCTGAGGACGTTTGTGCGTCTCACACCTGCACCTCCGGCGGCATTGGGACCTTTGCGGATTGCGGAAGAGGATGTCGTACGTATGGCGGCGGGAGCGGGAAGAGCGGCTTCAGCGTCTTTTACGGCGTCGTTGCCTGCAGTTGCGGCCAAAGGTGAAGGAGATTTAGGCCGTGATTGCGAGCCATTTGTAGCGTTGCCGGCCGAGAGGAAGGGGGAGGCAGTGCGTGAGATCACAGGAGGGGTGCTGCTTCGTGAGGGCGGATTGCTAGGCCGCTTGATGGTCGGCTTATCCCAAGAGGAAAAGAAATCGTCCGCGGGTTCGCCTGCGGGCGTCGACGTACCGTCGGCGCCAGGGGTGGAGAGGGGGTCGTCGGTGATAACCACCTCGTCTGGGTACCTGTTCAACGCGTAAGGCGATGTCGATACAGACAGATTTATCAACAACAGCATACTCTTGAGCGTCTCTCTCTGCCCTACGCTTGAGTTCTTCCTTGTATTTATTCGCAGCATTAGAGGTGTATTTGACCTTCGCATCCTTGCTTGCCAGAGCCGCACTCCCACCGTGGGATTGGAAGAATTTCGTGGCAGACTCATTGCCTCCAACTTTCATAGTGCGCAGTTGACTCCATTGCCAAACTATTATCAATCAATATTTTGATTCTGGTTGAGGGGCAGTGTCCCAGTTACCATCCAAATTCGTAGACCTGACAAAGGAGATGTGGACACCAAGGTTCCTATGGTTGGAAGAGCAGTCGAGACAGAGGTAGACGCCGAAAGGGACGGAGGACCAAGTCGGATTCTTTTGGCCGCAGTCGAAACATATCTGTGAATCCATGTCAGCAGGCGCGGTGCGGGAAATGTCGATTCGTAGAGGTGGCCTTCTACGCCTGGTGTGAGTACCTTGTTGGCTGGTTTGGCTTTCAGCTTCTCGAAGATCCTCTGCGATTGCGCTTTCGTCGCGCTCATGTTGACAGGGACAGTGTTGGAGAGGTGGAAGAGAAGGCAGACAGGTGGTATTCGGAGGCGCAGTCTCGAAGAAGGTACTTGACGGGGAATTTGGATCTCAACATACGCCAGAGTATGTCCCTCGTATGTAGATGCCACTAAGCGAAATCGGGATGTCCCTTCGCCGCCTTCACAATACTACTATCTGTACTTGCCGAGGGGACTCTGTTTCTGCTTTATTGATGAACTCGAATATACAATGCATGGAGCGATCAGATCAAGTCATTGAGATTCAAGTGCAAGAGGCTACTGTCTACTTGTGCCGTACCTTGGAAGCTATTCTACCCCCGAATAAAGAAGCGTGTAAAAAGCCTGAAAGGGTCGACTGAGGGTTGTCTCTCAGAAGACACACCAGACACAGTCCTTTCAGGTCGAATTTTGTCCGGTGCACAAGGAAGAGCCTCGATTGTAATGGATGCTAAGTGTATCTCTTTCGCATGCCCTCCTCACTTGTAACCTGTACTCCTCAGCTTATTCTACTTTCTCTCACTCACTCTCACCGCGCACTCACTCTTTCTGTTCTGTCTTTCCCTTTCTCCCTCAGCTTGTCTTGCAGTCGTCTCCTCCTCCATGATACCACTCCCGACGACCAGGTGATGTTTCGCCGTGTTGTTGTGCTCTGCAGCAGCCCCAACTGACCGACCGCGTGGTTTGCTGATGCCTGAGTGGACGCATGTTGCCGGGCCATCAAGATGCCGACTCTGAAAGATCTTGTTTGCCATGTACAATGGGCAGATACAGGATCTCCGTTTCCAGAATATGGCACGGTCTATGGAGACGGTGTTGTTGAGACCTACATTGCTATCCCTACTCATCCTCAAGTCTTTACCATTCGACTCACCTCACGAAAGTTCATTTATGACGGGTTGGCGATGGTAGTTTTCATTGATGGAAACTACCAATGCAATCGTAATAGAGTCAACCTACAGCCCGCAAAGAAAAACTTGCCTGAAATCAGAACAAATATTGACTTTCTCGTGAGACAGAAGGAGAAACCCATGGGTGATGGGACGTACATGGGTCGGCAGTGGCGCTTCGACGATTGCAATCTTGGTGAGTCCATTTTGGAGGAAGCAAGTTCGAAGTTAATGCTTCGTTACCAGTCTCGCAACTCCCCCCGAGCGTTGACGAGAGCCACTTCGATGATCTGGGAACGATCGAGGTCTTGGTCTTGCGATGTCATAGCAACAACCGTGAAGATAGTCAATGCTCGACGGCCTCTTCAGGTGAGCACAGCGGGATCATGGATGACGAAGAGGATGCTGGAGGAGAGCCGGAAGAACCTGACCCTGCCGGCAAATCAAACACGGAAAATTACTCTACAAAGGCCGAACAACCTCAACCTGAAGCACAGGACGCCTTCGGTGGCCTTTTTGGCCTATTCGATGGACCTGCCGACGGGTGGTCTTCCTTCGCTGGCAATTCAGGAGATGCACCGTCAGATGGGTATTCTCGATGGCAGTGGCAAGCACATACTGGACACCCTGCTCCTTATGGCCCGCAGGAAAGACCACAACACCCGTCGGATTATCGTCCACCTTCTGCGCATTATGAAGAACCACGGCGAACAAGGTACATTTATCAAAACTCTCCGCCCTCTTCTACCTATGCCCCCCCATCGAATCCGCCTCTTCCGGGCCTCAGACCAGAGAGGCATGTTCATTTCGACTACGGTGACGGGAGAGGGCCGCAGTCCAGTAGCTTTCGTACAAGATACGACCACCAACCCCATCACACTTGGGAGCGAGATGATCAACATGCATACCCCCACCCTAGTCCCCATTACTATCGCCCGGAGTACGATAGACATCGCAATCCTTACGCCGACTATCCTGTTCCTCCTGAAGGCGGGCATTACATGTACAATCCGGATCGGAAAGTCTATCGGCCATACCCTAAGCCGAACCAAGTCCACGAAAGCTCCCAGCCACGTCCTCCTCTGGACAGTCACTCTACGCAACACTCATACTATCGGCCACCTATTCGAGGGGCTACCCCTGAGAATCAGCAAACACACGGGCCTCCAACATTTGGCGGCTCTCAAACGAATTTTCCGAACGCGGTTCCGTCGATAACGTCGCTCCCTGCTCTCCCTCCGAAGTTTCCAATCCAGCCCACGAACCTGGCCCCGTGCCAACCACAGCCGGTTCAATGCCCTATCCCAATATGGATCCCTCCGCCAACGATGCCAATTCCACCCTTTCCCGCCGCCGTGCCAATCTATCCATCACATAACAATGGCCCCCTGTTTCACAATCAGAGAATCGAGTCCATCAATGGCCAAAGCACGCAAATTGATAGCACCTCAGGTCCCGTTGCAGCCGAGGAGCGGCCAAGTGATGACAGTTCTCAGAAGCAGGGAGGTGAAGTTACTGACAACCAAGAGCGCTCTAACACCGTTCAATCTACCTCTGCTCAGGATCCTCCAGAAAATCCGAATAACGGTAACAATGATGATAACTGGGGGAATTTGGGTGGAGATAACAACAGCGGCAACACTCCCACGTGGGCAAATGGAGGCGCAAACGACAATGGGAGCAATAATATCAATCAAGGTTGGCGCGACAGCGGAAACAATACACAGGATAATACTAACGACCTAGGTTGGAATAACGACAATAGGAACATCGGAAATAGTAGCTGGCAGTATGATACAAATCAGGATAACAGCGGAAGCCAACAAGGCAATAGCGGTGGTGGCTGGGGAAACAAGAATCCAAACTCTGAGGGTGATGGGAATAACCAACCGAACAGCGAGAGCGGCAATCAAAACAGCAGCTCGACGCATAATAATGTGTCTGTACTAGTTGGGAGCCGATCGAACAATCGAGCTCTGTATGGCCCCCATGGGGCGTACTACACTTGGAAATCCTGTGCGCAGAATGCTCCTCCGGCAGACGCCGAGGAGGAGCCACGGTATGATGTCCCTCAAGCTATTGCACAATCCAAGGGGGTTACGAAACAAGTTCAGCCGGGTAAAGGCTACCTGTACAACAAAAAGAGATGCGTTCCTTACTACATTGATTCTCTGGACGAGCCTTATGCCAGATTTGTCTTCAAGTACCGGACAAAGGAGCAACTCAAGGACGAGATCGGGGTCGAGATCACAACCGAGCCTAGTCCGAACGAGGACGCCAATGCTCTTGAAAACATGGACAAGTCAGAGTTGATTCAGATGGTGCTCAGAGCCAAAGGTGCTTTGGGAGGGACAATACCCAGTCCGCCGCCGAAAGTGACTCCGCCTTCCGTGAAGAGCTTTGAGCAGGTGCCCGTCAACGCTCCTGATGTGGGATTCCTCAGATACAGCTTGCCGCGCATGCGCAACGTTTCAAACACCGCGGGCCTTGGGATTCGATTATCCAATGCTTCAAGCAACCAGAGCCACGCAGGAAACGTCAACCAAAGCAACAACTGGAATGGTGGCTGGAACAACGATTGGCAACAGGGTAGCGGCCAGCAGAATAGCAACGGGAACAATGGTGGTTGCCAGAACCGGCAAGACAACAATAATCAGCAGAGTAACAGTGGCTGGAACAACCAAAATTGGAGCAATGCCAGCAACAGTAACAATAAGAACGGCAACAGCAACGGTAACAGCAATGCCAAGCCCAGCTGGAACAACGTTTCCGCCAGTAACAAAAATGGCTGGGATGGGCAACAGGAGAAGCATCCTAGCGTGGCCGCCTCACAGCCCTCGGGGGATTTCAGTGTGCATGCCCCTTCTCGCCGAAGCTCAGCGATCAGTCCAAAGGGAGGGAGCAGACTTTCCGGCCCCGCGAGTTCTATCCAGAATCCAAACCCGAACCAGATCCAAAGCCAGAATGAGAATGCAGGACAAGCTCTACCTCAAGGCGACATGCTTGACTACATCCTCAACCACCCCGAAGAGGCAGCGAAGATGGGCATGGTTGGACCTCCGCCGCCACCACCGCCTGCGATCGTCTTCACCGGTACCGGCGCGGTCGGGGGCGGCCAGACAAATATCGACATGGACATAAACGGCGCTGGTCCGCGTCCGCCAACGCCCACGGATCCTCCGCCGCCCTGCAGTCCTCTCAGCGTCCACGATCCAGGAACTTTTGGGCCGGGCGACTGGGGAGCGGGGGGGAATGGGAATTCATGGCAGCCGGCCAGCGATTGGTGAAAGCACGGTCGGCCAGCGGGCTGGGAAAGGCGGGAAGGCCGATGGGGCACATAAAAAGAGAGAGAAGGGGATGCTAGGCTGGTTCTTGTCAACAGAATCGGAATTTCTTGGGTTCTGGTATCGAGTATATTACCGCACTTTCTAGATTCGAAAGCGTTGCATTTTCAGCGTGAAACGCGTTCTCTTCCGCTAGCGACCGGAGCTGCAGAGAGAGGGGAATAAAAACGATGATTGTAGGTCCAGATGGAAATTGAAGCATCAAAAAGGGGAGAAGGGAAAGCTATCAGTGTCATGACTTTCCTTCTTTTCCCTCCTTCTGTTCCTTCTCGATCTCATCCTGATCGTCCCCTACGACGAACCCTCCACCGAGCAATATTGCCGGCTCGTGAATGTTGTGGTGTTCGTAACTCAACGTTCCGACACCGCCCGCTTCCATAATCATCGCCGTCTCCGTGAGTGGCCGGCCGATCCAGCGTACGGCAAAGGCCCTCAGAATATGGCCATGGCCCACGACAAGGACGTCCCCTGTGACACCGGGCTGCTTCGGTTTCCCTATCACCTTGCAGTGGTATTTTTCTCTAATTTCGCGAATCAGATCGTCAACGCGACTGATTATGTCTTGGGGAGATTCGCCGCCGGGGCAGCCATCGCGCCAGATGTCCCAGGGCCCAAGCCCCTGTTCCTTGCGCAGGGCACGGATCTCGGCGCTTGTAATGCCTTCGTAGTCACCGTAATCCCATTCTGCGATGCGCGGGTCGACGGTGACTGGCGCATTGGTTCTGTGCAGTGGTTCGTGATCGTTGGGCTTGGATTGGGACTGTTGCCAAGGGTAGGGCTCCTGGCAGCCTAGATTGAGGAGTTCGAGGGTTCTTTGGGCACGGTGGCGGGGGGAGACGTAACTTTTTTCAGTCAGGGTCAGCCATGATGGGATCTATGGGCGGGAAAGAGAAGGAGAGAGGGTTGGGTTGGAAAAGACATACATGTGAACCAGCTGCTTCGGCACGATCAACCTATCGTCTCCCACGAGGGCCTTCCCCGTTGTGCGGACTCGCTTCTCTCCGTCCTTTGTCAGGGGTATGTCGGTGGTCCCTGTGTGCTTTCCTGAGAGGGACCATTCTGTCTCACCGTGCCGAACGATGAAGCAGCGGGGGGTCGTCATCCCTCGGTTTCTGTAATTCAAATTGTAAAAGGCTTGTCCTAAGCAATAGAGACGAGAGCTAGATAAAACACCTAGCGGGAACTGAGGAGAGCTAGAGTTCAGGAAATGAAGGAGGCTGTGAGAAGGGGATATGGAGGCTCTTGGTGGGGGAAGTAGTTGGTATCCTGCCCGGCGGATGGGGATGGAACTGACGTAGGGGGGATTTGTGCAGGAGCAATGGAGCCGGCTGGGAAATCTGAAGAAGGGGATCGGGGATCTGCAGAAAGGAAGTGGATGGAGACTATTGGGTTGAGTACTCAGCTTGGTCATAAGTCATCACTGCCATGTTTACGGAAGACAGATCCATTGAGGAGTGGTTGACTATTTTCCCATAATAATCATGTTGGAAAGGGGAAAACCGATGGGGGGCACAAGATTGAGGACAGGAGGGGCTAGGGGCTAGTAGGCCCCCAGTACGAGGTACTCGGTAGGCTATTGAGGCCACTAGGCTAATAATGAGGCATGCTAGGCATTGGGCAAGGGTGCTTGGGTGGTGCGGGGCACGTAAAGAGGAGCACATGGGTGGCATCAAGGCACCTCATCGGTGCCTAAAGGGGGAGGAGTTGCTGACTCATCCATCCCATATTGCTTATCCCGCCAACAAACCGTGTAGAATGGGGAAAGTCCATAGTCGTCAACATCCTTGGTAACTGTATCTAGGTAGCTTGCTCTGTACTGACTGCTATGAGAAAACCGTGGTTAAAAAGAAAAAGCGAATGTCCGCGACAGATGCCCCATTGTCTATCTATCATACATCCTCCCTCTCCCTCTCCACATTCCAGTCCAGCCTTGTCCCAGAGAATCAACTCAAAACCCGCAACTCCTCACTCGCTATGCTCCAATCCACTCTGAAGAATATATTCTTTTCTTTTTCTCCCTTCCCAGTCCGGGTTACCCAAGGGAAATAAAAGAGGGGTGCGTTTCGTCATTCTTGAATCACCATAGGAATCATGCCCATCTCCATAGATTCATCAATCGGGCTCAGCTCCGCCATGTCTTCAACCGCCACCGTGATCTCTGCTCGTTCACTCTTCTTCCCCTTGTCGGGCTTTGGCTTTCTCGCCCATCCGATCAGCACTTTCCACCCTGAGCCGTGCTCTTTGCCTTCCTCCATCACCTCATCCACGCCTTCGAGCCACCGGCTCTGTTCCCGTCCCGACTCGGCGCGCACTTTGACCAGCCACTCCTCCCACATCCGGGCGCCGAGGAGGCCGGTCAGGTCGGCAACATCCTGCGTACTACCGACTGGCCCTTGCACGGCCTCCACGTCCATGTATTGCTTGACAATCTTGCTAATGGTCGACACTTCGCTGATTGGGCGTGGTGCGGGTACGAACGGCTTGCCCCCTTGACGCCATGTCTGCCAGCCCCCTGTGTATCCGTGGCCGTGCTCTTCTGATTCTTTGGGGGGCCTCCGTCCCATGGGAATGAACATCCACGCTCTCTTGACGCCGACAAAGCCCTCTTTCTTCAGGCGTCGAAGCCAGCTTCGAGCGGCTTCGCGTTCGTAGCCGCGCCGATGCAGTTCGAACCCAAATTCTACCGACATGGCTTCTGCTCTTGGCCCTGCATGTGCGATGGTCGAATCCATGATCATGTAGTCAAGATACCCATGTGGTTTGAGCACCCGCATGCATTCTCGAAGGGTCAGAACCCACTCGTCAATTTCTGGCACGCCAGGGACAGGATTGTTCTTGAGAAGAACGTGCAGTGAACGTGCCGAGATGACGTCGAAGTGGCCGCTGCGGAAGGGGAGCTGCCAGAGGTGCGGAACAGAGATAGTACGGTGGTTTGTCGGAGCCTCGGGCTTTGTCATCTCGGCCGGTCGTTGAGACCGTGCTTGATCCTTGGTAATGACAGTGTAAATTTTCACATTCGGCCATTCCAGAGCAGCGTTCCAGGCCCACGAAGCAGAAGATGTACCACCTAAGTCGAGGACGCGAAGCCGTTTACTCCCCACGCATGCAGGATCGTCCAACGGAATTGTGGCTTTGGTTTTCAACCTTTGACAAGCTGCCTCAGACGCAAGAAGACGGCCCTTGAACACAGCCCTTAGAGCATCAATCTGCCAATTCGATGGCTCGATTGACGCAAGTGCAAGCTGCTCGCGTTCGACTGCCCGATAAGCGAGTTGTTCGGCCGTGCGCTCGAACACCCCAGTCTGTCGAGGGTTTTGACTGAATGGGCCGGAATATTTCGGACGAGATGGGTCAACCAGCGTGTGCCGGCCGAGGAGATTATTGACATGCTTTTCTGGCAGGGCAATCCGGATAGCTTGTATCGCGTCAAGGCGAGATGATGAGTGGATGAAGGCATCCCGGCGCTTGCGGACAGCGAGCAGATGCTGGAAAGCAGAGAGGAAGATGGGCTCCTTTATCTCGGATTCGCTATCGGGACTGTCCTTCTCTGGGGCCCTCATAACCACAGCTGTGTCTATCTTGGCCTTGTCAGCAAACATTACCGTCCGACGGACTCCCTTGGTCTTGTCATCGAGGGTTTCAGTAGTCTCAGGATTCTCCTCATTCGGGTCGGAGTCCAGGATTGCAGACAAATAGCCTGTTTGTGCGGCGAGCCACGATCCAGTGCGGTCCAGATTCTGGCCCGCAGCTTTTTTGAGCTCGTCGTAGTACTTCTCGTCATATTCGTAGTTTACTGTCATCACCTCAGATGACTTGCTGGGACCAACACCAGTATCAGTGGCAGGTCCGTAGAGATCGTCATCTTCGGACTGCAGGCTCTTGCGTTCCCCTGGCTCTCCTAGATTGAAGATGGCCTGCTTTGCTGTGGGCGGACCTTCGGTCATGTTTGTATCGTCAATCATGACGACTGTCTCGACGACATTGTCCTTTGAGCTGTTTTCCCAAGGCCGGTTGTAGAACATCTCTGCGGTAGCGGTGCTGGGTACGCTTGGTCCTTTGGATTTGGTGAGACACCAGGTGTGTCGTGAGCCATGCTGCAGAGAAGAAAAGAAGCCTCCCGGCGACGGAATACTCAGCTGCGAGAAGCTATAGTCGGATATTGGAGTCTCCCCGTCCGCGCTACGTGGTCGACTGATGGGTTCCGGGTCATTCCGTTCGCGCATTTCTTGTCGTGTCCCAGATTTCTTCGACTGCCGTGAGCCGCCAGAACTTGTCGACCTATCGTCAGTGCTTCTCTGCCCAGCCAGGCGCTGAAGCAGCTGCAAAGCCTCTGGGGGAAGTCTAACTCCCACATCAGATCCATTGGAGGGTGGTTTGTCCTTGAACTTCTTGAGCTCGTCAAGAGAAGGCATAAGAGGAGAAAGATCTTGTGGGGTGGCACCAGGCACAGTTGGGAAACTGACAATCATCTCGGTGAACGCTGCTGGAGATGCAAGATTGCCAAATGAATTGCCCGAGTGGGCTTCCGCCGGCGACAGGATCACACTATGACCATCGCCAAGCGCTATTTCGAGAGGCTGTGACTCGAGGTTGGCTGGCGGCGGACCATCCCAAGGTTGTCCTTCCGTAACCTCGAGCTGTCCCATGTCCGGAGTGACAGGAGCACTAGTCCCCGCGTTACAGGGTGAATCAGAGATTGAACTATTGCTGTCCCCGAGCGAAGGTGGCGCACTGATTTCCGGGACATCCCTTGGAAGGGCAGAGAGTGTACCGGGGGAAAGCCGAATTTTCGTGGCAGGAGACATCCCAAAGGTTATCTCCTTGATAGGACTCGCATCCATCGGACCCCATGAGTTTCTGGGTATTATCAGAGCGGGGTAGCGGTTTCGGCTGGACTTCTCGCTGGCAAAGCTGTTTCTACTCGAGTCGGACGCGAAGCTAGTCGGGTCGCTGGCAAGAGACGGGCAGTCGTCGCTGAACACTGTACCTCCGTCGCTACCAGTAAGAGAACTTCGGGCCGAATTTCGTCGATAGCCGTCACCAGCGCTGCTGGCAGGAGAAGGCCCACAGGAAGAGATTGGAGAGGGCGGGCAGGTTGATCTTGCGAGTGAGCTCTTGCGAGCAGCGGCAGTAAAGAGGGCCGGATCCCATGCCGAAGGGCGGCCGATCACGGTTGAATCGCTTGCATCTCCCTCACTATCGCTTTTCAGGCCCTGACTTCCGTCTTCCTTTTCTTCGAGAATAGTATTAAGCTGCCGACCACGGCCCAGCCGCGGCGGAGATTGGTAGGTAGTAGATGGTAGGACGCTCATACTTGCAAAGGGCCGGCCTTCACAAGATAATTAAATATTGTCGGTCGATTGTGGTCTTCGTCAAATGGCCATCGGCTGCCCGCTCGGCGAAAGGCGGGATCTGATGGGTGTCAAAATCGGTATTAATAGTTGTAAACGGCGCCGATCAACGGTCGCACGCTGGAATGGCTTTCAAATCGAAACTGCTAACGAGAGAAAGCTGAGAGCGACCAGCAACTTCAGCGACGGCGAGGTTAGAAAGGTGGGAGGGGAAGAAAGTATGAAGGAAAGAGAAAAGCGACCAAGGAAAAGAGGCCGGTGGAAGCGCTGTGAGGACGACATTGGCGTCTCGCTCGAGACCTGTGGGATAATTGCGCGGAACGGCAATGTCACGCACTCTTTTACAAATCGGGAGAGGGACATGTCGACCTTTCGTCGATTGGCTCTGGCCGCAGTGGGCGAGGCCTGGAATTCAGAAAAGGGATAGCCGCTTGTTTGAAGAAGCCTTGTAGGCCAATACCGGATCCCATGGGGCTTCAACCAGCGAGACGCGCAGGAAATAGCATCAAAGCGGAGATCGATAGTGCTGAGACGTGTTGGCAGGACGTTGGAGGTGAAGGAGGACGGCGAAGAATGGTTGGTAGAGAAGATGGGATGGAAGAAAGAGGGTCTGACACATGATTGGCTACGGGGACCTCTGGTGGGCCTAGGCTGGGCGCTTAGAGAGTGCGCTATTCCTAAAACAGATATCTCTATTTATGGCACTTCTACGAGAGGTCGAGAGCTGCCGTTTCCTCCAATTTTCGTCTGAGCTGGCTTTATTCGGCACATATGCCATGTTGCTATTATAACAGATGAGCCTGGATCTGGCCGCCAAGGGTGTGGCTCTAAGAGAACAATTTGGCCGTTGCCAGCAGGCTGCTGCTGGGCCAACGACGCATTGAGGCTCATTCCGACGCTCATAACACACCTTGTGTATGAGGCTGAAGCAGCACACCATCTCTCCCAATCTACTGGGAGGATGATAGTCAATGATATCATCACAAAGTCCCTGGATCAGTCCCTCAGACTCCTTTCATCTTGCGGAGCGCGTGACATTCAGTGATATCTTTCGTCATCATCAAGCCCGGCGTCACGCCGTATGAGATTGAGGCAAGTGTAGCCGTCCAGAAACAGACCCCGTGATGGGTTGAGCTGTGTGGCGAGCCCGCTCAGCTCATTGTCGGTTTTGGCGATCTTCTGGAAGAGGCTGTCGCCATCTTCCCTGCTGTCCCCACCAGGAAGTCCTTTGACAGATATGGGTGGTTGGCCGGGGTACCAAAGGAAAACGGAGTATTTGCTCGATACACAACACTCGATGCAGATCTATTTTAATTGAAACGTCCAGGGGCTTTTCACCAGGCACAAGCCACATGAGTGGATGTTCTTTTTCCACCCAGACAACACAAAAGCATGAATGCGCGATGACGGTATGAGAGAGTTTCTCATCTACTAACGCAATGGATGAGAATGTCACCAGAGCAGTCACAATACACTTTCTGTATTTCCTCTCGGGTACAGGAATGGGGCTTGCCTGGCCCATATCTAGAGGCGTCTCGCCTGCAATAGCGTTTGCCCCTTTGTCAGCCGCAGGACATCTCTTTCATCTATCCAAGTGCTTTCAATATGGCGCTACTGTTGCCGATGAATCCTGTGAGAATGTCAGTCTCATTTCGACCAGTCACCCTTTAGGCACTTACCATATCCCGCAGCATTGTAACGGCACATCGCTTGAGCATACGATGGACTTGTTGTCTGGGAGATATCGTCGACATAAATCACGTCATAGCCTACGGAAGGTGGTTAGCTTATATTTCCCAAGCTCACGAGACAGGCTTGTCCTGCCTACCTTTGAAGTAGGCATCCACAAAGGTGGACCAGACGCATTGATCGGCATTGACACCCCCGAAGAAGAGCGTCGACATTTCATTCTCTTGAAGCCAGAGGCCTAAAGGCGTCTGTGGTCCCCAAAGTCCGGACAGGCGGTTCTTGTTGAACAACATATCCGTGCCCGCTGCGAGACCTTCATTTTTCATTGTTCCCAACACACCATAAGGCTCGGCGTTCCAAGACCCACGCATCAACAGCCGGCCAACCTCAATTGTGGTTCCGTTTTCCTTAATGGTGCCCATATCGCTGCCAAATGTCTCGTTGGCGAGATCTGAACCTCCGCTGAACCCAGACTTGAAGGCAGGTGGAATTGTCAGCAGGTCGTATTCCGTCAATCCCCAGTTCACCCAAAGGACCTTCATGCCATGCTTGCGGAATCCATTGATCATATTGACCGTGGGCTCCACGGCCGCGCGGCCGTTCACTGCTTTCGGGGACAAATCCGGATGCAAGAAGAAGTTTTGCATGTCGATGATCACCAAGCCGGTGCGGTTTGGCTCGATCTTGATTGAAGATCTGTGGGCCATCATCGGCAGTACCTTTGGCGTTGTTACTGGAGAGCGGTCGCTGCGTGTCAGGTCAAAAGTTCCATTGGGCAGCTTCCTCCAGTAGTTGTAGTAGCTTCCCAGAGTGGATGTAGCCGCCTCAAAGCCGTCACCAACCAAGGCGTATGCTTGACGTTCCTCCAATCCAAGTGGACTCGCGGAGCATAACGAGCTGATGGCGAGAGCGGAAACGAGCAGGTTCATCGGGGAGAAGAATCTTGCGACAGCCATTGTGTGGGGGGTTCAGCAAGGCTGAACAACAACAGGGGATCCGACTAAGAACTATCCAAGTAACCCGACAATGCGACAACAACTCGTTCAACGACTCGTTCACGATGAGTTTTATACCTTCTCATTCTTCCTTTGCTCTCGGTCAAATTCCGAAGTGAACGGAGATGTGCATCTCTTCCACTTCCAGCGTCGAGCACAGAGTGAATACGAGAGATATCGCTATAGCCCAAAGAGGAAGGCCAGGAGGTGTTTGATAAGCAACACTCGCTGCATATTATCCGACTTCTCCAACAAATTTCCCCCGCACGCGATTCAACTTTTGCTGACCGCCGTCGGCTTCAGCCATACAGCGTGGCACACTCATCCTTATCTTTGCTTGTACTACATTTCGTCGAGTAATGGAAGGAAACTCAATGCCCTCCCGTCTTTCATCTTAGCAGACTCCCAGACAGGAAAGAGAGGCGTTTGATAAAGTGCCGATCTCCATGACAGGATAGCTGAAGCATGAAGCGCACGGCTGACGAAGAGGACCGTCTACCGGATTTAATGAAAGCGACACCTCTTGGCATGCAAGGAAGCAGTTTGTCAACTCGAGTTGCTGGATGGCGGATGGCGGATGTCGGACTGATGCAGTAGGGCACGATGGCTCGCTTCGTCCGTTTGGATCAGCTGATGGCAGCCTGATGCCGATATTCTCTCAAGTGAGCCGGTAGCGAGAGGAGGCGGTGCTAGTGAAAGATATTCTCGCGCTATCCATATGGTATTTACAATGTTACGTGGCCATTTGTGCAAATAAGAGCATCTATCACGCCATTTTGCAGAGGAAGTGGCACACTCTGACACAGAAGACGACGATGCAGCAACCATGGTTGGGCAGCGCTTGACGACAACGACCCAGTGTGGTCGCGAAGATGTCAGATGCAGCCCTCGGTACGAGGTAGGCTACGGGACAAACGACAGCACACTATAATTTTCAAAGGCAAAAGCAATCTTCCCTGAGAGGCCAAGAAGACGCTTCCCGATGCGCACGCGCACGTGCGGCTCAGCGGGTTTGTCAAGATCAGCCCTGAGCGGCAGAATTCAACGCAAAGGTTGCCATTCGCGATCTGATGATTGCCTCAATTGTTCCCTTGTCTTTTCAATGTCACGGTGATGACGAGCGACAACCAGTCTCTGGGACACTGCCGAGAAGACGCATGTCACAACATTCTCATTTTACAGTTTCTGCGTAAGAGGCAGCTCTCTTCCAAAGCCTGAGATTCGGGCCACCTTTTCCCCCAATCCTCTCACTCTCAAACGGACTCGGCCAACAAGTTTGACTACTCAAGATGCTCCTTCAGCCATCGTCTCGGAATTCCTCGTTCTGGTGCTCCCTGGCTCGTACGCTAAATGCTGGTGGGGAGATGCTGTTAACGGTATCTGCGGCGATGGATCTACAGGAACGCCTTGCTGCGGATACAAAAAGTGCAATGCCTTCTGCTGTGCTTGCCCAGGAGGTGAGTATGAGTCGCTTTGACCTTTACCTTGCACCAGTCACAGCCGCTCAACCATCCACCCCGATGACTGTCCATATCTGGCAGTCTCGGTCATTCGAGAGGCCATCGAACAGCCCGGTATAGAATGGACGTCTGTCATTACGGCGCCTTGCGACTCCGTGCACTCCACCTATGAAGAGTGGACCTGCCGTGCCAGCCACATTATAACGTGGTATCCTCCTCCAGCGACAAGACGCGCACCTCCCGAAGACTCAGCGACAACCGTATTCAGCGCCGGTGAGCCAGTGGAAACCATCACAGGAAGTCTTCAGCCAGCCTTTGCAAACGTCCTGAAGCATCCTCTCCACAATCACAAAATGCTTTCAGAATTGCAGGAGACGTTCGCCGCGTGAGTAAGGGGAAAAGAAGAACGGGACAAGCATCATTACGCTGGATCAGTACTTTGGTTTCTTCAACGTCACAGACAATGGCGTGGAATCCGACTTCGGCAAACATCAGTTGAGGCCAAGTTTCGAGCACATGACAGGAACGGTAACGACTCGCTGACGGTCGAGGAAGCTCAGTTGCTCTGTGACAGGGAAGGGTGTTCCTGAGCAGTCGATTTTGAGAAATCAGGCTTCTCCCGAGTGCCTGTGGGTAGCATCTATGGTCTACCTAGCTGCACCTACCGATAGAGTTTGACTTTGCCCTGCTGTGTGCTGTGGACGGAGCAAGGCTGGCAAGGCCACTTAATGTGATGGTCAGTCGGTCTCACCAGCCTCCGAGTCACAGCCTCGCGAGAAAAGTGGAAAAACAGTTAATCCGTTGACAGAGCTGCCAAGCAAATGCCTGCCTGCTCGCCTGTTACACGACAGCCTCATCTTCCAACTTCTTTGAAATCACGCACATGATGATGGGTTCCTATGGTTTGAATATTCCTTTGCAATGAATCTACCTCAGCTGGATGCGTGCTTTCCTGTAGCGTCGGCTTGTATCTCCATTATTCGGACGCCAATTCCTTGTTCTCTCAATCTTGATAGCTTCTTCGCCAGTGACTTCGCCCCTCTCGGCTGCTCTTTAGTCCTCTGTTTCATCACCTTCATATACACACCGTCATCAACTCATCATGGATCTAGGCTCAGATGATACGTGGTCAGACACCTCTGAGGAGGAGGAAACACGGGCGAGCCAACCACTTCCGTCTCGGGCGTACCAGATTGAGATGTTCCACCACAGCATGAGGGGAAACATTATTGCTGTTGTAAGATGCTTTCTATTCCGAGCGATGAGTGTCTCCTGACATTTACACAGATGGGCACTGGTAGTGGGAAGACACTGATGTAAATGCTTCCCGTCCTGCTTCCTTTACGTGCTGTTTTTCCTACAGGATCCTCCCTCCCCTCCCTTGACACATGACCATCTGCTTGGGGGGACTGAATTCTTGAACCTTTACTAGTGCCAAATTACGTATAGAAGCGGAACTAGAACGCTCCCCAGATAAGGTCTGTATGCTCCACATCTCCAATTCCTCTATTTGCTGACCCTCTCGGTCAGTTGGTGTGGTTCACTGCTCCCAGCGTGGTCTTAGCCTATCAGCAGTACCGTTTCCTTTCGCAACAGCTACCGGCATTCCAATTCAGACTGATAACCGGCTTGGACAACGCTAAATACTGGACCACCAAGGCGGTGTGGGACAAAGTCCTTGACAATATTCAGGTTGTTGTTTCCACCCCTGCCATCCTGGCCCAGGCTCTCAACTACGGCTTCATTTCCTTGGCTGCCATCTCACTGCTTGTTTTCGACGAAGCTCATCATGGGATTAAGAAGACCAGCCTGAACGAAATCATGAAGCTTCACTATCACCCACATAATGTGCCCGGATCTAACTTTGAACTGCCTCATGTGCTTGGCCTGTCCGCAAGTCCAATCACAAATAAGGCAGGGACAGAAGTGAAGGTTTTGGAGGGAAATCTCAACGCAGTTTGCAAAACCCCTTTTCAGCAATTGGATGAATATACAGCTTTCCTAAACACGCCAGAGCTCACAAATCTGACATACAACACGGCCCAGCAGTCTTCCTCCCAAATCTACCGGTGTCTAGCCGGCATTGTCTCTGTCACCCACATAGATGATGACCCGATCATGAAGACCCTGAGAGAAATGGATAGTCCAGGCGCCCACGAGAAGCTCGACAAGATCCTGAAAAAGAATTGCACACCAGCTATGAAAGAGTTGCAAGCACTTGGCCGGTCGTGCAAAGACATACAAGAAAATCTGGGGAATTGGGCTTGTGACATGTTCATCAAAAAATGTCTTGAAAAAGCTGAGGCCAAACAGATTCACACGCTTGAACTTACAAATCCGGACTTATCGTCATATCAGTTCATCAAATCCCGCCTCCAGCCTCTGAATGAGCAGATACTATCCAATATGTTGAGCATGTCCGCGGTGAATAGCGTTTCACCAAAGGTTCAAGTGCTACTCGACTTCCTCCAAAAGGAACATCGTTCCAACCTCAGATGTCTTGTTTTCGTGCAATCTAGAAATGCAGCCTGGTCACTCAATCAAGTTCTCAACAATCATCCACTTACAAAAGACTGTTACAAATCATTTTCCTTTGTCGGCGTGCGCAATCCATCACATCAAGGCCTGTTCGATTTTGCAGAGCTGAGCATTCAGCATGACAACCTAGAGAGATTCCGACGAGGGGAGCTCAATATCTGTGTGGCAACCTCAGTGCTTGAAGAAGGCATTGATGTACCTGCAATGAACCTGGTGATATGCTTCGATGAGCGACAAAACTTTCGAAGTTTTGTCCAAAGCCGAGGAAGAGCCCGACAAAAAGGTTCCAAGTTCGTATTCTTGGAAGAAGTCGATTCCAAGCTGGCGAAATGGCAAGCAATGGAGGACGAGATGAAAAAGGAGTGCGAGAATTCTCTTCAGACGTTAGAGGGACGGAAGTACATCGAGAGCATAGATGAATCTGAGGGTGAAATCTTTAGAGTCGAGTCAACCGGGTAAGTCGTAGATGGCGCCGACGACCTCGCCGGCGATCTCAGAAGCCTGTTTGATGTCTGTCTGACGATGAATACAGCGCTACCTTGACTTATGGAGGAGCGCGACAACTCTTGGATCGATTTTGCGCAAAGCTGCCCAAGACAGATGAATGCGAACGACCAAGTCCGATATTCTGCATCGAAGGGAAAATTGGTGTCGACGTGGTGGCGAAAGTCTATCTTCCTACTACCCTTCCTCCGAGCTTGCAGAAGGCAGAGTCAAAATTTAGCCGGCGAACAGAGAAATTGGCCAAGCAAGACGCCGCCTTTCAGGCTTATCTAGCACTCTACAGGGCTGGGCTTGTGACAGAACATCTGGTACCTCCGGAATATCCAAAAGAAACAAACAGCGAACCCGAAATCGAAAAGAGAGAGAGTGAATATGATGTGCAGAGTCAATACGACCCTTGGCCAAAGCTTGTGGAACAGTGGACAACGGCTGGTACGAGCTACACTCACCGTCTTCATGTCGAAGCTGCCGACTTCCCCTATCCCACTATGCAACTTCTCCTTCCCCAAAAACTCACCGGCATCTCATTCCCCCTCTTCACTGCGCCATCCGGCCAAACGCGAGTTAGTGTGAGCACTGGGAAGGAGGTACACCATTTTCCTACCGATCTGGGCCGAGACATAAGTTTTCTTGCCCTGGACGTAATCCTTGGGCGAAGACTGCCAGGTCTCAACAAGGAACAGCTCCCGTTTCTCCTCGTCCCCGACATGGATCTGCCATCGTTGCGAGACTGGTATCACAAAGCATCTAGTAACACACCAATGGTTAGCTTCCTCGAAAGCCGCCCTATCCGCGACAACGCATACCTTGTACGACTCCAGAATCACAATGTTCCGTATGTATGGCAGCCCGGTGTATGGCAGGAGGATGCGAGTCATCAGGAGTGTCAGCTCAAGGGGACACAGAGCATTACAGAAATCGTCGGAACAAGTCTTTCCAGAAGGCTAGAATATCTGACCTCACATATCTTGCCAGCGATAAGGTCCGATGCATCCAGAATCTTACCCGTGGATGATTGCTCGGTGCTGGGATTACCTGCGGAGTATGGGCGACTGATGCTGCTCATACCGTCGATTACGCACATGCTCGAAATTGCTCTTCGTACCACAGAAGCTTGTAAAGGGCCTCTGCTCAGCCTTGGTTTTGACAGTGTCGATTTAGTGTCCGAAGCACTAACACTTCCAAACGTGGGAAGTAGAAATTATCAACGGCTGGAGTTTCTCGGAGATGATTTGCTGAAGTTTTACTCTTCGCTCCAAGTCTTTGTCGACTACCCCAACCACCCGGAAAGCCAGCTCAGTGTGTACCGGGGCAGAATCGTCAGCAATGCGCGGCTACAACGAGCGACCAGAACTCTGGGCCTAGACCAGTATCTCACTCGAAACCGATTCTCAGGGCCTCAGTGGTCAGCTGGCGTCAGCAACTCCAGAATGCAGGCGAAGAAGCTGCTACAGAAACGGCTATCGTCGAAGATATTGGCAGATGTGATTGAAGCATTGATCGGAGCTGCAAGTCTCAGTGACGTTGGATTAGAGGACGCCGAAGAAAAATTGCTTTCTGCGCTAAAGCTGTTTCTTAGCGAGATCCCTTGGAGGCCTCTGTCTGAAAATATTGCCAAAATCCAACATCAGGATACGCCTTCAAGCCACCGACCGGAGGCGCCAGTCGAGTCCTTGATCGGCTACTCCTTTGTGTGCAATGCTTTATTGGCACAAGCCCTAACCCAATCGACCCTTGCGGGCAACGCTTTCTCATCCTACGATCGGCTTGAATTCCTAGGCGATGCCGTCCTCGACCACATTGTGAAGCCGAAGCTTTTTTACAGTTCTCTCCAACTCGACCCTGATCAGATGACATGCCGCCGTCACGCCCTGGTCAGCCATGCAGCATTAGCGTTCTTCGCTCTGCAGGTTTCACATACGCGCACCATATTTGATGTGCAAACGAACCATCTCACGAAACAAACCGTCACCCAGGAGAAGACTGAAACGGTCTACCTCCCTGACTACATCAGACGAATTGGCAACAGGGAGGCTCCTTTGCAGCGACAAGCCACTTTGGCGGCCTACCACGAAGTCCGGTCCTGGGTTGTCGAGAGCTTTGAAATCGGCAAAAAGTTTCCCTGGAGCGAACTATCACGCCTGGCAGCTCCGAAATGCTACTCGGACGTTGTTGAATCAATCCTTGGTGCGGTCTTTGTTGATTCCCGAGGAGATCTGACCGCTTGTGAAGCAGTGCTCGAAAAAATGGGGTACATGAAACTAGTGCACCGATTTGCAACAGAACCGGACATTGACGTGCGACATCCAGAGGCGGTATTGCATCAGGTAGTCCCGAACTGCGAACT